ATTTCTCCACCATTCATTGCTTTCAACTGGGCCATTAAATATATATCTTGCTCAGATCTAGAGAGAGCTTGAAACGCCTCACGTAATTCGGCAAACTTTTCTCTCGGAATCTTTTTTGAGCAACCACAATTGCAACCTACCTCCAAGAACGCATTGCTTTTTCGTATTCGGTCGAACCATTATATTCATTATTTTGCATATACAGGTATTCCTATATATATAATTTTATTACTTATTCTTCACAACAATGATAAAGGCATTAGGTTTGATAATTGGTTAGTGTAGATCTAAACTATTTATTTATTGAGTTTCTGTTGATAGTCAAACCGCGTTTAGATGTATACTAACATTACATCAACGTATTTAAACTAAATATATCATGCTCTGGAGTGATAACCTTATCAGATATTGCATCAGGATGTCTTTTGACACTTTCAATGTTCAAGAAGGAAGGATAAAAGACTTTGCCAGCCTCACCCGCCCAATCAAAGTCAACTAGCACTACATTTACAGATTCATCTGTTGCTTTATAGAGAATATTGGGTTTTCTCAAATCCCCATGCACAAACCCAGCATGGTGCATTTCCTCAATGGACTTTTTAATCTTCTCTTTCCACTCAACTCTTGCACCATCAAACAAGTTGACATAGTCCTCCAAATATTGCATTATTACCACTTTCCATCGCTCAGAGAGCTTGTAACACCCAAATAGTTTAGGGGCAAATCCATGATCAGCACAGAATTTGTGCACCACTTCCCCATATGATTCTGTGAACTTAACAAGTAACCTCTGAGGAATGTCTGAATCTGAATTTTGTTTGGTTTCCACCACAAACAGTAACTTATCCTTATACAGCTGCTTTATATACTCAAACTTCACCTGTTTGTGTTGATAATTGAATGCTTGATAATAGGGCCACATTGATTGTGGACCTGTCTCAGGCGAATTGTAATATTCACGAAGCATTTTATAGGCCGATTCGAGAGCAGTGAACACTCGTGCAATCTTCATCATTTGTTCTCTATCATATCGAAGCAACATCAATGGGATAGGTCCGATTAGAGGGTCAGCCAATATTTTACGATTGTTACAGATGACACCTGCAACTCCGAGAAATGGGCCTGATACAAGAAACAGTTAGAAATTTAAATATAAAATAGTTATCATACAAACTGTTGGTCTTACCTGCCAAGTACAAGATAAAACAAGGCAAACGCGTACGTTCTTAGCTACTTTCTTCCCATAATATGCAATACCCTGAATATACGGACAGCTATTTCCCTCCCCAAGTTCAGGCTTTACTTCAACGTTGATAAAAAAAAAAGATCCGTTTCCAGCCAAGGCGGTACCATCCGTTGTGCAGTTATCAATACAAATTCTGTTGACTGTTATATTAAACTTTTCTAGCAAACGGTGAAACTCATCTGTTCGTAAATCTTCATTACGGAACGCATCAGACATGCTTTCAGTAAGTTCTAAAACATGATCGTAGGTTTCCTGTGTGGGAACAGCGGTTCGGCAATCCTTCACAAACTTCTCAAATACTGGATGATAGATTGCAACAGGATTTCCAGACGCAGAAGCCGGGCGGTGATTTAAGTATAAAGGATTTTCACCGTACTGTCTGGAAGGCCAGCCTTTATTTCCTCTTCCACCATAGTCTGATGGTGAAGATTCCTCTTTAACTCGTTTAAGGTAGCTGTTCAATTCATCATACTCATCATCTATTTTTTTACGTTTGGTACCTGAGAATAATATTTATAATAAATAAATTTGCTCTGTCTACTCTACCCCACGTACACACTACTCTATATCCCAACGCCGAGTCACAAAGTCGTTACCTGGTTGAGCAGCTGTTGTCTATCCTATGTCTACTCTACCCTAAATACGCACTACTCTACGTCCCCAACGCCCGAGTCACAAAGTCGTTACCTGGCTGAGAGGTCGTCAGCCTCTTCATTTCTCCTTTCCAGTATTCTACATTCGTTTTCAACTCTCCTTCTTCCCGCTCCAGTTGTTTCTTCTCCGCTATCCACCTCTTCCTCTCTCTCTCGCTTCCCCATTCTTCAGCCGCCAAACTTATCCTCAGATTTCCTAACCTTTCCAACTTCCCCTTAGCTCCATCATACTCCTTCTTCGCGTCATCGTATGGTGTGCTCATGTTTCTTTATGATGGATGTGAAGGACGAAATTTTTTTCGTTGTTGAAAGATGTGCTGCGCAGTGTGATCTAATTAAACGCTGATCAGTGGCTTAATCAATGACGTATTATTAGGAACTTTCTAGACCTTTCACAATGTAGCAATTGTTCCCCTGCATGCAGAATGTGACCAATGATAATCAATGCGCAGAAATTCGCGTTTGTCTAATGATCATCCGTAGTGTATGATGAACAAACGAACATTTTATTATAAAAACAGCGCTGGTTAACTTCCTTCAAAAATCAACCCCAACGCAATAAATATCGTTGAAACAATACATCTTTAAAACAATAAAACAATTCCACCACCGATAACACCTACAAAAATGCTTACGTTCACAAGCGAATTTCTTTTTGGAATATTTATTGGCTTCATTCTCGGCCTGTTGCTAAATGGCGTAATTTTATAATAAGCCAACTCCACAACATGGGAATATTAACAAAGAATATGAAGACCAGGAAGTTACCAAAAACGAAACTATCGGCGAACAAAATTTATCTGCCAGATATCGAAACGTTGTGGAACGATTTGAGAAAATTATACGATAAAAGAACCGAGTCGATCCCAAATTTTCATTTAACAAAATGGCATTCGAAATTTATAAGTTGCTTGGTGAAGGAAAAGCTGTTGCAGCGTCCACAATACGAAATTTTTACCTACGAAGAACAACCCCGCGGAAAAAGACCATCGAGGCAATCCAACGTTGGATCGACGAAGAAAAGGAAAATGTAAATCACTCAGATGGAGACGATGAAAATAAAAAAATAGATAATAATAGTGATACTAACGAGGATAATGAAACTTAAATTTGCACCAGAGTGACCAAGAATAGGTTATACTCATTAATGGCTTTGGGTCCGAGTATTTTCCTCCCATGCAATCACTCTGGTGCTTTTAACATTATTTATATTTTCGAGAGCGCGCATTCAATAATCGAATAATAAAATATATAATTCTACACAAAATTTCTTAAAAAAGATTTATATGGCTAAAGAATGTATGTCTTGTAAAAAATTTTCTGAACCCTTAGGAAGAAAAACTTTAAGAAGTCTTTTGTTTGATGTTGGAACTGTTTTTTCTTTTGTTAATCATCGTCCTAACACTAAATTTCACCTTAATATTATCACCAAGCGTAATGTTAATGATTTAAGAGGCTTAACTGAGCAAGAATGGCAAGATATTTTACCATGCTTAAAAGATGGTATTGATAAAATAGAAAACTATTATAAACATAGATGCAAACCTGGTCCATTAGGTTATCACATTAGTTTTCCGGCTGGGGAATTGTCTGGAGAAAATCAACCACCTCATTTTTACATGAGAGTGGTGCCTAAATATAAGAAGAATTGAGGTGTAATTAGTAATAAAGCAAATTATCTTCCTGGTGCTACATCTAACTTTGAGTAAAAGTTGTGACAAGCTTTTCAACCTAATCAAGATGGGATAGTAGCTGAAAATGACAAGTTACTTGCTCAGATAAGTACGATTTATCCTTTTTGTCCATCTTTCCCAAAGCCAAACTTCTGAATGATATTCAAGCCATTGACCAAGAAACTTGAAATGAGATCGGAGTTATGCTCAAAGAATTGATGAAAAAAGCAGAGGAAGCTAACATTTTCATAATTTTAGTCTTAGGTTCAAAATAGGGGAAAAAGCAACAAAGATTTTTAATGAAGAGGCATTACTTACTGTCGATGCTAAAGTTTTTTGTTGTAGATTTGCTGCCCATTGATGAAGAGAATAAGCAAAAAAGAATGTGACCGCCAGAAGAACGTGAAAATGCTAGAGAAGGAGAAGATAAGATTATTGCTCGTTTTGAAAATAAACGCATAGCTTTCAAATTAAACAATCCTGAAGAGTACGAAAGGATTTGAGGTAAACAAAATAAAAACCAAGAAATTAAACAGTTAAAAACGGGAAATGCTAACCTAAAAACCCAATTAGCCAAAAAAAAAAAAGAAAAGAAAAAAATCTGAAATCTGCTAGTTCAAAGAGAAACATTTGAAAACAACCTGCTCTTTATTGAGGTTTAGGTGGAGGATTAATAATTGCTGGTAGTTTAGAAATTAAAATGGGAATTTTTGATGGCTAAGTAAAAGGACAAAAGAAAAGTCATAATTATTTGAGTAAAGCTGAATGTTATTCTATAAAATTTATGCTTACGAAAAAATTGGATTATTTTTACATTGTTTGACCCTTTAATTGCATTGTGTCAAAGTAGTACACAGTCACTCTCGATAAGATGAAGCCGTCGGGCTGGACCAAAAGGGTCATATTATCGAAAGTTCATTATAA